ATCTGGTCGCCAACGTGAAAGGAGGGATGCCATGTGTCCATCTGATGTGTAAACAAACAAGGCGTCCACTTGCAGACTGCTGGCTGTAGAATTGCAAATCACACAGTTATTACCATATGATGACAATAATCCACAAAAGACATCAAAAGATGCTAACATTTAAAAAACGTCTAAACTAGCCGTTTTATGAAAGTGTCTACAATGCTTTTTCTTAAAGGACAACCACCGCAACCTTACAAAATTCAATATGCCAAGTGCTCAATAGCAAACATACTCGGTGTTGTTCAATAACCAGGCTTGTTTCCTAGCCATTATCTCATAAAGATATGAAACAATCAAACAACCATCGTAGAACTTTTGGCTGTTTTAGTTATCCAAGGTTGAAATAAAATAGGAGTTTAGTTCAGTTTCAATTTTTACTTGTAAAATACTTGAGAATATTTGCTTACCTAATTTGGCAGCAGACCGGCATATCTCTTCTTTTATGATATCTGAAAATGATGATGATATATTTGCTAATTCCAATTCTTCACTATACTTGTCCTCTCTGCACCACTTTTCCATTCGCACGCTAACACTCCTAAGAACTGTTAATGCTTTGTCAGGGTAAAGACCCATTGCTGATTCACCAGAGAGCATCAATGCATCAGCTTGCTGCCTGACAGCTTCAGAAACATCAGCAACTTCTGCTCTAGTTGGTATAGGATACTCGATCATGGACTCAAGAAGTTGCGAGGCAACAATGACAGGTTTATTAAGCTGCCTGCACAAATGAACAATTTTCTGCTGGGCAAATGGAACCTGCTCTAGAGGAATTTGTGAGCCCATATCTCCTCTGGCAACCATAGCTCCATCGGAAGCTTCTAAGATCTCTTCCAAGTTTTTCAGTGAGTCAACACTCTCTATTTTAGCAATTACACCAACATCCCTGCACGTCAAAATTGACAGTTGAGCTCTAAATTGAAAGCAACATGCAATAATTCTTGAAGGGAGCAAAAGAAGAAAAATTAATGAGTTGAGCACAAAATTCACAGAACAGCTTTAGATTGTTGCTTAGTATCTATATTAAACAAAACACAACTGTTATAAAAGTATATCAGATATAAGCAATAAAGCACAATATCAGATTCGTGAGTAGCATCTATTTTCAGCAATTTGGCATAAACCACATACCCCAACTCCCAAATTGCACTACCACCTGTATGATGCATCTTTAAGAATAACACAGCACAAACCCACAAGTAGATCTAGTAGTTTTGGATTTTTCCCTCTAGCAGAAAAATACAATTCCAGCTAGAAACAAAGCTGCTTTCCTGAAGGGCTTTGAGACTGAGGGGATTCCGAGAATTGATTGATGGCAAGTAGAAACATTTACCTATTAGGAGATCGTGCAGCAATATAACTCCGCAGATGATTGATTGTATCAGCAGATCGAACAAAAGACAATGCAATGAAATCCACACCTTCAGCTATAGCAAAATCAATATCCAGCCAATCCTAAGGATCATAAAAGGTTTTTGGATTAGAATACATGATACCTTATTATGAAATATAAATGAATGGGACAATGATCATTAAGCTGATGATAAAGGTTGGATGAGAGAGACCAACCTTAGATGTGATCGTTGGGAGCATACTGTTACGTTGTTGAACCAGTCTTCCTTTCCTCCACAATGCAAGATTCGCACGAGGTAACAACAACCCAGGATCAGTGCACAAGCACTTGACATCAGGGCCAATTTTTTCAACAACCTCAAAACGAACCATACCACCATCCACGACAAGTTCATCACCCACTTCAACATCTGTAACATTTGGAACAAGCTCGAAATTTGATACACTACAGCTTTATGGCTCTTGCCAGTGTCTACAACAAGACAGTAATCTAAGACATACCTTCAGCAAAACCATCATAGCTTGCACTGATGGTGCGCTCTGGCTGACTCTCATCAAATGAACGGACGCTGAAGGTCCAAATATCACCATCCTAAAGAAGTCAATCAATGCACATCAGTGTAAAAGAGTGATCAAACTTATTGCAATCATTTTTGTAGCCACTTTGTATGTAGAGCATGTTGATTATAATTTATTTATTTTTTTGCTAAATTTTAAGCTAAAGAGTCAAAGCCAAATTGGATATTGAAAATTCCTTATTCACATCGAAAATTTATTAAGCACATATTTTTGGTAATTTGATACAGGAAAAAAAAAAACAAAAAACAAACCCACACAGGTGTACTTCGGGATATGTTAATCAAGTAAATCAACACTAGAAGACTACAAGGCAATAAAAACAACCAATTCGGATCCAGTTAACATCCTTTGGGAGTCTTTCGAATAGAGGTAACATAATAACATGTAATTCCTCTGTCCCAAAAAATGCTACATAGGCCACAACCACATTTGATTAAGTAACTTGACTGAAATACTGAAACAACAAACCAAGTTTAATTTTTTTATACATCTTTAGCATAATTTTTTTATACATCTTTAGCATAGAACAAGGTAGTCTTTTCTTAATTTACTCATTAAGGCTGATACAAACAAGTTGTAAATTAACTATATATAAACTACAGAATGTATTATTTTGGGACAACCAAAATAGAAATGGGGGAGTCTCACAACACATTAAGAATGGTTTTAGTCTCTCGTGCATATCAGTCAATGTCACCTCACTCTCTTTGCACTTTGCTAGCAATGTATGTCACCTCACTCACTAAATTCCCATCATATTTCAAAAACCATAATCTAATAAAACCCAACAACTAACAATTCATACACATAATTATACAACCAACAAAACCAAATCTCTCGTTAATATCAAGTTTTGATTTTGATTTTTTATTTTTTTATTTATCCAAAAAAAAATGTCAAATTGTTTCTCAAATTTCGGTCCACATCAAGATTTTGTCCTAGTTAAGACGCTTCTAAACTCCTAATTTGTAAGATTCAATAAATTTCAGGTTTTGGGTCATAAAACCCTGTTCAAGACACAATCTTTTTGTCAATCAATTTCAATTCTAGGTCAATTCTGCAAATTATAACAAAAAAAACAATAATAACATCAATATTTAAAATTGAAATTAAAAAAAGACCTCAGCTTTAAGAGCAGAAGCAGCACCAAAATCACCCAAATGAATCTCACTCCCTTGAGTATCCATCATCACTGCAACAGCAAACCCTTTCTCTTCATTCAACTTTCGCACGTGCTCAATCACCTCCTTGTGCCACTCCCTCGTGTTATGACACATATTCAAACGTGCCACATTCATCCCACCTTCAGCAAGCGCCTCAATCGTCTCGAAGTCGCACGTGCTAGGCCCAATTGTGCACACGAGTTTCGTCCTACGCGTGCTGCGAAACCCATTCTCCTTCATCTCTGCCGAACTCACATGATCAATCTCCATCGATGTTGTTGACAACGACGAAGACGGTTCCTCGGGAATCACCGGCGTAACCACCGGAGCTCCGGCGACGGAGATGGGGTTGGGGAATCTGGGTTCGGATCCGGGTCCGGGTCGGGCCGGGAGGAGAAATGGGCGGTTTGGGAAAGAGGGTTTAAGGAGGGTTTTGAAAGGGGAGATTTTTGTGGGGGTTAGGAGAGAGAAAGTGGCGGACTGAGACATTGTTTGTCGCCGGAAAAAGGTGGGGTTTTCCGGCGAGGAAGATTGGGAGGAGAGAGAAAGTAGAAGAGAGAGAATTTGGAGGCGGAGTTTACGAAGAATAAAAAAGGAGGAAATTTAGGGATTTGAGGCGAAATTTAAAAAGGGTAGATTACGGTTGACGGATGTTTTAAACATCTTGTTCTTAATTCTGCAGACTATTTATGTCGGTTTTCTTTCTTGGTTTATACTTTTATTTATTGTAAAGTCTTTATTTATTTATGCTGTTAACCTAACTAATAAACAACTATGGAGTACTCAAGTGATATACTTTAGGTCTCTTGGAGTCTAGGGTTGGTAATCTCATATCGGTTTCGTGGTTGGCTCGGTTTGAAATGAATTGACTACTTTTGGTCCGATAATTTTGACCCGATTTCTGTTTCTTAAATGTAATTTAGTGAATGAACACGATTAACGTTTTAGTTTGATAAAAAAAAAAAAAAAAAAAAAATTAACTTCATATGAGGAATAGAGGGAGAATATAATTGATTGATGAAGTGAAGTGGTTGACGTGTTATAGTATATATTGGTTATTGTGGTTAAGTTTGACCTAATGGAAAGGTTATAACTTTTCAACATTAATGTAACTATATGTAGGTTTTAGTTCTCACTAGTCACTATAGGCATTTTAGAAGAGAGGTCACTTCACATTTCCTTCAGATCGCCAATGTCTGTCCTACTATTTTGGGCTGAGTTATCTCGTAAGGGGTTTTGGTCTACTATGCCTTTTAAGTTTCAACTAACCCACCCCCTCAAAAAAAAAAAAAAAAAAACCTATTATACAAGTGCATTGGAACTAAAGCCTGATCATGGGTCGGGCTACGGCAAAGAAAAGTTTCGAGCCAGGCTAGACTTAAGTTCGGGCAAAAAAAAAAAGTATGCTGGCCCACGCCTAGAATCCATGCCTAACAAATCTTCCCAAACCTATGCAATGCAGCGACGGATTAGGTCGGGATGATGTAGCTTTAATTGAAACCTCACCCTAGGATAAGAGGTAATTTAATAAAAAAAAAATTAAGAAAAGGAAAAATGAATTTTAAGGGATGATGTATAGAATCTTCATAAAGTTAATTGATCTTATATAGGTTTGTGATTTTATTTTATCTATCTGGGTAAGACGTAAAAGCATGAAATAACATACATTACTTGCCATAAACTCAAAAAGTATAAGTAGGGGGGGGGGGGGGGTGGGGGGGCTCAAATGGTAAGCTGATAATATAAATACGGAGTATTAACTCCTTAACATATTACAAACCCAACAAATCCCAAGACATCTTAAATTTACTGACTCTCAATTCATTATATAAATTGCAAGACACAAAATCATGCAATAGTAACTCAATTAGTAAGACAGCCAACAATGGCTGCAAGTTTAGCCATGTTCATAGGCTTAGGGTAATAAGCATCTAAACCAGCATTAACAAATTCTTGAATCTTCACTTGTGAGGATGTTGAAGACATTCCAATGATCAAACTCCTTACTCCCAAAGCTCGGATTTCTCGGGTTGCCTAGGTGGATGAAAAAGACACATCAAATTAATTAAATAACAATGTATAATTTGTTACCAAAAAAAAAAAAAAAAAAAATTAACAAATGTGTTTAGATATATAGATGATGATTGATTTGACATAAATCGTTGCAAATAATATAAAACGGAGGTACTACGTGTAATTGCATACGATTAATCAAGTTATGTACCTGAAGACCATCCATGACGGGCATTTCCATGTCCATCAACACTAAATCAAATTTGTAACCCACTTGAAAATACTCTACAGCTTCTTCCCCGTTTTTAGCTACTACAATTTCAAATCCATTTTTGCCTAAATATTTTTTATTGTTGGCTCTATTAGTGGAGTCATCGCCTACAATTAAAGCGGTGAATATTTTAGGAGTTACCATTTTTTCCCCCCTCTTTACAAGACTAGTAATTGGTTTTGAATTAATCATTCTCTTCGAGCAGCTACTTTATACAGATGTAAAATTACATTAAAAAGGTATGTCGTTCTTGATTGATTTGATTTTATGAATAATAAGTTTATCAAAACAGATGTCGATCTTTACAAATAAAATCTAAAAATTTTGTGGGTATGTGATCGAAATGATATTAGACAATATTATTAATTAATACTTCGTATAACGAGTGGATTCCTCTACTTTTTTTTTTTTTTTTTTTTTTTTTACAAAAACCAATTTCAAATATTTTAGGTTGATGCATGGCTCTATTAATGTTGTTGTCACCAACAATCAAAGTAGTAAACTTTTTAGGAGTTATTTAATTTTTCTTCTTTACTAGAATAGTAAATGGTTTTAAGAAGTAATCAATTCCTCGAACAACTTTTGTACATACTATAGAAGTAAAATTACATTTAAAAGGTTTGTCAATCTTAATTGATCGATTTGATTATATGAATGATAATGAAAAGTATCTGAACAGATGTCGATCTTTATAAATATCCAAAAAATATTGTGGATATATAATCAAAATGTTACTTTGTATAAGATGATATTATTTATTTAACAAGTAGATTCCTCTTCTTTTTTTTTTTAAAAAAAAAAAAAAAAAAGCAATTTTTGTTTAACATTTTTTTTAATGCAACAAACACCAACAACAAAGAACCACTCTAAAGTCTAAACCAATTGCAATTTGACCTAATTAGGGCCTGTTCTCTTAGCTTATTTTCAGTTCAGCTCCAATCAGTTTAGTTTAGTCCAGTTCATAATTTCCTTCTATCATAAACAATTCAGTTCAGTTCAAATCAGTTTAGTAAATTAGAACAAACCCTTAATCAACTTTACTAATTCGTACAGGGTATAATGTTATCTCAATAAAAAATTTCGAACCCTAAAGCACTGGAAAATTTTGTCAAATAATACTATTAATTAAAGTATTACTTTTGGAAATAAGTACATTTAAATTATTATTTTTTTAAAAATGCTTCCCTAAATATTGAACAATTTAAGGTAACACTCCCATTTAGGGGTGTCTATTCGGATTCCGGATTGGATTTAGCCCAAATTCAATCTGATCCGAAATAAATTTCGGTTTTAATTATCAAATTCAATCCAATCGGATTATAATTCGGTTATTTGGATCGAATCCAAAATCCGAATTAAAATAATTTGCTAATTTTTTGGGTCTAATGCGATTATAAAAATAAAAATGTAATAATAAAATTTCGATTCTTGAAAGTATAGTTGTACACGATTAATACAAATTTTGAAAACATATAGGTTTACACAAATATTTTTTTTTTTTATTCAACTGAGATTAATTAATTAATCAAAAAAACATGACAAAAACCAGTTTAAGCATGAAAAAGAAACGCAAAAAACAAAAAACAAAACAAAAAGAAAACAACTAAACTACGGAGGGACTAGGCGTGGTATAGCCACACCCCTAGCATCCTCCTCTAAGATAAGACCCAACTCTGACGGAACAATAGTGAGAATAAATAACTGAGAGTCTGTAATGACCCCGCGGTTGGCCAACCAATCCGCCGCTCTATTGCCTTCACGATAAATATGAGTCACCTTTATTTTCCACCCCGAGTCATTAAGCAAACGCTGACAGTAGAGGAGTGCTTGAATATTCTCACCCCTGGGCACCACTTGCTGCTGTAACGCTTGTACACAAGCCAAGTTGTCCATCTGGATTTCCAACTGTGGAATTTGAAGATTTTTAGCCAACTCTAATCCTCTTGTAAGTGCTTTAACCTCTGCTTTGAAGGCTGAGCAGTTACCAAAATTTGCTGTGAATGCTGAGATAAAACGCCCCTCATGATCTCGTATTATCCCACCCCCTCCTGCAGGCCCTGGACAGCCTTTGGCCGCACCATTGCAATTTGATACGTACCAGCCAGGGGCAGGAGCATGCCAAGTGACATTAGTTTGCACTCGATTTTTGTGTTTACGAAGCTGTTCTTCGAAGTCATCATTCAGCACCCTTCGAGCTTCATCGTACCTAATGTGTAAAAAGCACCAATATCAAGAGGAATTTCATCACCTCTATTAAATACAAAGCAATTTCTCCATCTCCAAATCCACCAAGCAGCTATACCAAAATAAGTAGCCCAACATTCACCATTAAGCACATCTGCTTGTTTCAAGTTCTTTTGGAGCCAATCTTTCAGTGTACCTTGGAAAAAATTCAGCAAACGACATTGAGGGATTATTTTCTTCCAAACACCATGGGCAGTAGGGCAGTCTCTAATAATATGTAATGTGCTCTCCTCACTTGCACCACATATAAAACATTTTGGATCGTCAGTCATTTTCCTTCTAAGACGGTTTAGATTCCCTAGGATGCGATCATGGCAAGAAAGCCATAAAAAAGCTCTAATTCGTTGTTGAACTGGTGCTTTCCATATTGCATCCCAACAATCATCATCAATTACATTGGTCTCATGTCTCATGATAGCAAGCACATATTTAATTGAAAATCTACCCTGACTGCCATCTTTCTAGTAAACAAGGTCCCCTACATTTGGGTCAACTCGGAGCTCGTGGCTTTGAATGATTTTCAACACATCTGTGGGGAGAAAAGGAGCAAGGATAGGCCGTCTCCAACCTACCTCCTCCTCCCACATTTCAGCAATTGTAGACCCTGCTATTTCCATAGGCATAGGTTGGGTAACAAGATCACTAAGGGGCACATCCGTACACCACAAATGATCCCAAAACAAAGTTGTAGTGCCATTCCCAACTGCAACTCTTGTACCTTTTCCCAACACTTTTGCATTTTCAGAAATTCCACACCATACATTCGAACTCCCAGCTTTCGGTTCAAACATATCAACATCACATCGTCCCTTGCAATATTTAGCTCGTAAGACCCTTGACCAGAGTGCATTTGGTTCGGTGAGCATTCGCCATCCTAGTTTAGTAAGGAACGCTGCGTTTGCTTGTTTTGTCGAGAGCATGCCAATCCCTCCTTGGCTCTTCGGCCTTTGAAGCGCCTCCCATGATAGAAGGTGAACCCCTCTCTTTTCATCATTGCCTCCCCATATGAATTTTCTGGTTTTTTTTATCAATAGCTTCACAAGTAGTACGAGGGATCTTAGTTTTCTGCATGGAATAAATAGCCATTGTAGAAATGGTGGATTTAGCCAAGGTGATTCTCCCTGCTAAAGATAAATATTTAGACTTCCACCCTGCAAGTCTACAATCAATCTTTTCACACAAATGGCTAAATGTTTCTTTTTTCACTCTACTCGTCAAGGTTGGCATCCCAAGATACATACCAAGATCATGAGTGATTTCCATTTTCAAAGCTGCACCAATTTGCCTTTGTGTCTCATCCTCAACATTAGCCAAGAAATACACTGTTGATTTTGGGAGACTCACTTTTTGACCCGAAGCCTTGCAAAATCAATCTAGGCAGCCATGAATTACATTGGCTTGTTCGACACTAGCCTCTGCAAAAAGGATAATATCATCTGCAAAAAAGAGGTTTGACAAGGCAGGACCATCTCGGCTTTCTCGAATTGGTTTCCACCTATCTTGAATAATTGCCTCTTCAATTACTTGGTAGAAGCGCTCCATGCACATGACAAAAAGATAAGGAGAAAGGGGGTCTCCTTGCCTTATTCCCCGGCTCGGCTTAAAGCTTTGAGAAGGACTTGTAATGAGGCCGAAGTGACACATTCCATTATGAGTTCAATCATAAAAATCGGAAGATTCATTTGCACCATCGTGTCTCTAATAAAAGACCATCGTAGCCTATCATAGGCTTTTTCAAAGTCAATTTTAATAGCCATCAAGCCTTTTGCACCTTGCTTTCTTCTCATGGTATGGATAACTTCTTGTACAATGACAATGTTATCTGTAATTTGTCTTCCCGGCACAAAACTAGCTTGAGTATTTGAAATCAAATGAGGAAGCACTGGCTTAAGTCTATTCACTATGACCTTAATGATGATCTTATATGCAACATTGCACAATCCAATGGGCCGGAATTGAGATGTAAGCTCCGGATTTTCGAGTTTCGGGATGAGTGCAATAAAAGTGTCATTGATATGCTCTGGTAATCCTTTACCTTCTAAAGCGGGCATGATGGTTCGATAAACTGTATCAGCAAGACCGCAACTATCTCCCAATTTTTTTGGTAAAAAATAGCTTGTAACCCATCTGGTCCTGGTGCTTTCAGAGCTCCCATTTCCTTAATGACACTTTCAACCTCTACCTTTGAATACGGTTTCACTAGTCCGCTCCAATCACTCGAGGAAAGCTCAGGGAATATGTCTTGTGGTACATCAAAAAATTCTGGTTCCCCTTCCTCTGTAAATAAGGTCGAGAAATACTTAACAATATGACTTTTGATGTCTTCCTTGTCCTGTAGCCAGTGATTATTCTCTCCTTTAATGGCAACTATTTTATTCTTCCAGCGTCGTACAATTGTACTTAAATGGAAAAAATTGGTATTTTTATCACCATTTTTTATCCATTCAATTCTTGATTTTTGGTACTAAAGGATCTCCTCCCTCTCTAGAACTTCATCAAGTTCTTTTCTAAGCTTTGATTCTAACTTTATAAGTCCTCTAACAATACGAACCGCCAATTGTTTTTGCACGCCTGCAATTCGAGCTAGGAGTAGTCTCTTCTGTTTAAAAATATTTCCAAAAATATCTCTGTTCCATTGATAACTTGTTATTTGGCATGATTTTAGGGTACTTTTGAACCTTGTTTTCGTTATTAATCGACATCAAAGTTCATTTTTTATCCTATTTTTATGCAAATTTTGTACCATCCATGCTTCACCGGTTGTTTGTTTTTTTGATGTAATGTAGCTATTTTTAGCACTATGGACATGATCAAGCATGAGTGAGCAAGGATAAGGGCAAGCTTGGTTGATATAGACATGGAGGAAGAAGGAGGAATGCCTTAAAGGGAAATGAAAAGCTTTTGGAGAACCTTGAAAGGTCGTTTGCGTAAGCGTCAACTTCAACCAACCATAACTTTTGATCTTATCAACTTTTTGAAGCGATTCAAATTGGAGATTAAAGTTCGTCCCAAGAGCTTTCCAACGACTAGTCACAAGTCCATTTCCGACAAGAAACGTAGAAGTTACAGCTTCCCAAAGTTAAGCAGTCTAGGCAGGGCATCCTGCACGGACGTGCAAGATGATAGCACGTCCGTGCAAGTCTGCACGTCCGTGCCAAAAGCTGCACGTCCGTGCAGACCTTGGCAGAAGCTTCTGCCTCCATTTTGGCCCTCCTGCACGTCCGTGCCAAACTTGGCACGTCCGTGCCAAACTTGGCACGTCCGTGCCAAACTTGGCACGGCCGTGCTTAGCCTTGCACGTCCGTGCCAAATCTGGCACGTCCGTGCAGACCTGCAGTCGAACTCATTCCTTGTTTTCTCCGTCCTTTTTATTTGGGGATCATATAAATACCCCTTTAGAGCTCATTTGTAGGGGGAGGCAGTTTTTTAGAGCTTTCCTCTTAGTTTGTAGTCTTAGAACATTAAATTCTCAAATCATTAGTTAGTTCTCAATTATTAGCTTGGAAACATTCAAATTCAATCATTGTGGAAGACAAAATCCACCATTGTTGCTCACTTTGAAGCTTCATAGTAACCATTTCTTACTCATCTTTTCTACTTCTCTTTACTTTGTTGTTAATTATTTGTTAGTTCTTGCATGTTTTGGATTGTTAATTAGCTTAATCCTTAGCTTGAACTTGTTCATGAATTGCTTGAAATCTTTAATTGCTTTAACCCCCATGGATTGTGAGTAGTCTAAATTCTAGGGTTTGGGCAAAACCCTCAATGTAGTCACTAATTACTTGTTGCATGTGCTAATTTGGTTGTTGTGGGATGTTAATTAGTTGAGCTTAAGTGGTTTAATTACTTAGTTCTTGTATATGGCCATTGCTAGAACTATTTATCCAAGCTTTCTCAACGAAGGATCGAGAGATGAACTTGAGTTAGCTCCCTTATGCTTGATTGACCCGAAATGCCATGAGAATAGGGATTACCGGTCAAGGGAATGTTTATGTCATCGTGATTATGCTTTAACACTTGTTTTATGCTATGTAACCACGAGAGTAGGTTGTATTCATGATTCAAGTAATCCCTCTAGCTTGAGAGAGTAGTTGGGTGCTTTAGATGACTTCCCCTAATTTATCCCATTAATTTACTTGATTGTTGCATGCTAATTGTGATTTGTGATGAAATTGAGTGGTATAACCCAAGCCCTAGATTCCTCTTAATATTGTTAATCTCCTCTTAGCTTTAGTTGAGTTGAATTAGAAGAAGTTACTCAAAACCAACCCAATTTAGAATTCATTTAGCTTATTTAAACGGTAGTACTCGGTGGTTGATTCAACGCCTCTCTTGGGTTCGACCCTTTCTTACCCTTACTATTGTTAGTGAGACCAAGATAGGAATCATTATCTTTGGTAGGCTCGACGACGGCCTATCATCCATATCTGCAATTCAGAGGATAATTTGGACATTGAAGTCCCCAAGTCTCCTTGCGAATCCCAGTTTCTCTCCACAAACTCTTTAAAGCTTTCATGTGTCATCCAAGTTGCCTGGAAGCAGAATGGCCTATGCACAGCTTGAAGCGGAACAAAACCATTAGGAGAGATAAAGATGGGGCAATGATCGGATTGAATAGCCGGAAGGTGCTTCATCGACGCCTTTTCAAATCTCATAGCCCATTCATCATTACACAGCGCACGATCCAACCTAGCACTTTGGCGAGTTTTCGGAGTTCGCCCCCTAGCCCAAGTATGATTTGCTCCTGCAAACTCAACTTCTAACAGCTCCATGTCTTCTATCTAGTTATTAAACAAAGCTGATCTACGATTGGTTTCATGGCAAGATTTATTACGTTCAGATGGGAATCTTGTGTCATTGAAATCACCGGCTATTAGCCAAGGTTTATTGTGGGTTGAAGCAAAGGATTTCAGTTCATCCCACAGTTCTCTTCTTTTTATAGGATCCGGACTAGCATAGATGGCTGAGAAATACCAAGGAGTGGCTCCAACTCGAGTGATCTCCATTGTAATGTGTTGTCTGTGCTTCAAGATGGGGTTAATAGTGACAATCTCAGGTTTCCAGTATACCCAAATTCCCCCACTAAAGCCCATAGCATCCACCCTCTCATGACCATTATAACCAAGAATATTAGCAATTCTACTTGCTTGCTCTCCTCCCATATGTGTTTCAACCAAGGTTAACACATTAGGTTTATTTAATCGAACTGCCTCTTTTAAAGCAGAGACAAAATTCGAATTTCCTGCCCCTTGCACGTTCCATATCATGCAAGTTATAGGCAGAGTATCAGCAGCTATCTTCCATAGAGTCTGGAATTGAAGATAATGTTGACACATAAGCTTGACTTAGCACCACCATCTTTATCTTGTGAATTGTAAACAAAATCTTCTGCTTCCTTGTTTATCTCCCCATTAATCTCTTCAAAATCAACCTCCTGATTTTCTAAGATATTGAATCTCGATCCAGTACCATAATTTCCTCCTACAATTACGTTGGGATTATTCTTTCCTGGAATAGCTCCCATACGGTTAGCCACCACTGCAGTATTTTCCACCACCTTAGCACCACCAACACCACTCTTTGCCACCCCTGCATTTTTATCAGGCTTAGTATTCCTCTGTCTCCCAGGTTTCTTTAGAAGCATCCATGAACCAAAATTTTCTTGTTCCTCAGGTCGAGGCACATGGTTATGTAAAGGGTTGTCATGGATTACCATTTCAGATTGCATTTCATCCACTTGGACAGGATTGCAATCATCTGAGACATGACCCAGCTTTCCACACTTAAAGCAAACCATTTTGATGCCTTCGTATTGAACCCTCCAGATTCTTCCTTTTAGCCAAAATTTCGACAACAAAGGCTTAGACAAATCTATTTCAACACTAAGCCCTGTGAATTGACCACGTTCCGCCTGAGTAGTAGTTTTATCTACCCTGATCACTTTGCCAATTTTTGATCCAATTTTATTTAAAAAATTGATATCAAAATATTCAACAGGAAGATTAGGAATACGTACCCAAGCCGTAAGAACCTTGATCGGAGCATCATCCGGGACAAAGTTTGGAACCCACTTTCTAATTGTCAAGTAGTTATCATCTAGCAGCCATGGTCCTTGAGTAAGAACATAATTATAATCAGCTTTAGTCGAGAACCTCGCTATGTAGTAGTTGCAACCAATATCTGTCAAAGCAAGCTCTCCCTTAATGTTCCATTTTTTCTTTAAACGGCGCATTAAGCCCATGTATCCTAGTTTCCCACTAAACAACTTGATAATCAGAGAAGTCATCCAAGGTTGTCTCAGACGTCTCTTTTCTTCCTTAGAAAGTTGGATCACAGGGCATCTATCATCCTTCAGAATATCTTTAGGGATATCTTCTTCATCATCAGAGATATCAGCTTCCTCCTCCTCTTCCCTAAAATCAACAAACTTCTGTTGAGGAGATCCATCATGCCCTGTTCTTAGCATGTTGCAAAAGGAGGCAGCACCCTTCTGCTGACTAGCATGGTCAAGGAACCCTTGTTCAGATTGTTGTTCAGAAGACATGTCCTCCGAATTCCCTTCAGCCATTTCTTCATCCTGGGGACCATTGCCACCAAATACCAGTTGTGTGATTTTACGTTTAGGCTTTTTATTTGATCGATTAATTTGGTCCCTTTCTTCAGTCGAAGGAAGGACTCCATGGTTTTCCTTGGGGGTTTCTTGGAGAATTTTCCTAGAGAGCATTTTTTACTTTTTTATATTTGTAGTTATATTAAAACGTCAAATAATATTAATATAATCATAAAATAGTTTAAATGATTAATATTACCAATACTTATTTATAAAATTACGCTTTCATATTTCGATTATTGATTTTTTGGATTCGAATAAGGTCAATCCGATCCAATTCGAAAATTCAATTTTTTTAAAAAAAAAAATTCGATCTAATTAAAAGTTCGGATCTGATGATTCTGATCCAAATTAATGATTCATATTGGATTGGATTTCGGTTTTTATCCAAATAATGAACACCCCTACTCCCACTAACGGTTTCCATCTAAATATATATATTTTGTTTGTGATCCCCACTTTATTTTTTGATTTTTGTTTTTATCCACTTTCTACCTACAAATTTATGAAATTGACTCTAAATTGAATAACCAATTCTTGATTTATGGTCTTTCCAAAAAAAAAACCCTTAATTTATGGATTAACTAGGTTAGAACTTGTGCATTTATATTTTAAAAATAAATCGATATTATACATGAATATAAATAAGAATTACGTATATTTTGTAATTTTAAAACCTAATTTGAACCAAATTGATAAACTGTAATTCAAATTCCTAATCCCCTAATTTTTGTAAACCTGGTTATGATTTTAATTCTAAGCCTCTAAATTGATATAATATAATAAGAACCCAAACTCCTAATTTGATTCAGAACACTATACCCCAAATCAAAATCCCTAATTTCCCAACAAACTTGATAAGCCCAAAATCCATTGATATGAAGACTGACCTTGCTTTCTCAAATTGTAAAACTATGCATTTATGCAATACATATAGCCTTTTTAGATAAATTTTCATAATAGTAATGAAGTTATCATCAATTCACAAGATTTATTATAAACTTTTATTTCATTCCAAATTCCACGCTCTTACACTTGATATAAAATGCATGATATACAATCATGCAATACATTATTAGCTTAGTTTTCAAGGCGTCGAATAATGGCTATAAGTTTGGCCATATTCATAGGCTTATGGTAGAATTCATCTAACCCAGCACTAACAAACTCTTGAATCTTCACTTGAGAAGCAGTTGATGACATGCCTATGATCAAACTTTTCACACCCAAAGCGCGAATTTCCATTGTAGCCTGAAAACATGAAAAAAAAAAATAATAACTTAGTATGAAGGACCCTACTAAACCAGTATCTCTCACAGGTGAAACCGCTTCAGGTTTAGAGTGGGTGGAATTCACCTACTCTCAAGCAAATGTAATTGGTGGAGCTCGAACTCATGACCTTGAAATCACAAGGTAAGTTCACCCACCAACTCCACCAAACTTTTTTTGGTTCTTAATGATTGACTTAATGTGATAATATGTGTACTAATGCATGTAAAAATTTTGTATAGATACATATAGTAAATTTGATGTACCTGAAAGCCATCCATTATTGGCATTTCCATGTCCATTAGCACTAAGTCAAACTTGTAGCCCATTTGAAAATACTCCACAGCTTCTTGCCCATTTTTGGCTACTTCAATTTCAAAACCATTTCTAGTCAAATACTTGAGATTGATAGCTCTATTAGCAGAGTCATCATCAACTACCAATGCAATGTACTTCTTAGTAGTTGCCATAACTTTTCTTATTTAGTGAACTAGTTAATGTTGTTTTGAAATATTTTGTTACCTCAAAAAAACTCCTTATATAGCTGTATAGGTGCATTTGAAAGGAAAAAAGTTTGTATATCTTAATGGATTTGATTCATTAAGATATGTAGGAGTTACTCTATAAATGACAATCTTAATTAATATAAGGAAATCCACCCTGTTTTGCTTTTTGTCCAATTAAAATTTCAAGTGATTTTCAACAATGTTTAGTGGTGTCAACTGGAATGTTAATGGTTTTAAGTTATTATTGCATATCCGTTGTGATATAGTTTTAAGTTATTATTGCGTATCCGATGTGATATAGTTTTAATGGTTTTAAGTTATTATTGCGTATCCGATGTGATATAGTTTTAAGTATAATTGCGTATCCAACGTGATGCAGATAATAACAATACTATTGAATATTGATATAGTTTTGTGAAGGATATTTGTTGATCTCAATATAATTTAATATATCATGTGGATTGTTGAATTGTTCTACCTTTTCTTTTGTTGATAATAGGCTAGGGTCTCATTAATTTTGTCGAATTTGAATTATTTTTATCAAATAAAATTTATTTTTATTGATTACTTGTTCTCAAAAGTTACTGATTTTTAGTAAACTGAAATTATGTTTACTGAATTGAAATTATTTTCACTAAATTGAAATTATATTTATTGAATATATTATTTTAAGATGAACATGATAGGTTTTAAGTGTTTAGTGACTTTTTTACCATTGAAATTTATTGAAATTGGCCTCAACGTACACCCTATCTATATATATCTTGGGTGCACCCTGAAATTTGACTAATTACTTAGCGGCTAGGGTTTCTAGGGTGGGGGAAGGGCGACCGACAGGTTTTACGGCGAGTGAGAATGGTTTCTAGGGTTTTTCGGGGCTGAAGGAGGTTTTACAGGGTTGAGGGAGGTTTTTCGGAGGAGGGACTATACGAGGGACGGGGAGGGCCGGCGAATGGTGAGGGAGGTGCGGCGAGTGGTTTTCAGACTACTTTCAGGTGGTTGTGTGGTGGTGGGGTGGGACTGGTGGGCCTCATTCTCTTTATTTTTAAAACAAACCGCATAGAAAATTATATGTATTTTCATGCCATTTCTTGTTTTTCCCTTAATTCATTCCACTTCGATTACCCTGTGCAAACCAAACGACCTCTTGCAATTTCTTCTACTAAAACTACAATGTTAATCACCAATTTACCATTCTCTGCCTTTATATTCTACAAGTATATCAATTTACGCTATCAACGTGACAATTATAATCATGTAGATAAAGGCCTTGTTTGGCAAGTGGCTGTTGGCGGTCGTCTGTTGGCTGATTCACTTGGCTTGTTTGACCAGCTGGTATGTTTGGCTGTTTATAATGGCTTTTGAAATTGGCTGTTAAAGCTGGCTGTTTATAAAAGTGTGGTAAATTAATTGTTAGTAGTTGGCTGTTTATTAGATAATTTGTGGGCCAACGAGCCAAAAGCCAACAAAAAAGCTACTCAAAGCAGCTTTTTCATTTTGGCTTAAAAGCTAGCTTTTTCACTGGCTAAAAAGCCAATTACCAATAACATTTTTTAGCTGTTTGACCTCATAAAAAAGCCAAAAGCCAAAAGCTAACCAAAAAGCCATCAAATAGGCATTTACCAAACATGGCCAAAAAGTCCACTCCCTAGGTATGGTCATGTATGGAGGCGTATTCCCCATATTGGGCTTTGTACATAGTCACTTTTATCAGTAAAATTCAGTATGAACACTACTTAAGCGATCCGATCCCATTATTCCCATTTAAATTTGTTAATCAGTTAATCCGACTGTTAGGTTCAACGATTATTTCCCTCTTTCTTCGCTGTTGATTGCATATGCATTACTTCGCACTCAAATTCCTCTCTCATCAGGTAAATTTGCTCTTTGATTTTCGATTATTGTTTCCCTGATTTAATTTAAGTTATGATTTTTAATCTTCATGAAAGACTACATCTGTTGTTTTGAATGAATTTCTAATACAAATTGTACGATATTGATTGTGTTTAATTGAAATTTTTAGGGATAAGTAATTCCCCCCTAATTAGTTACCCTAATGAATAGATACTAGCTTCAAAAATGTGTATTTTTCTTGTAATTAACCTCGCTTGTTCGATTCTTACCATTAATTTTCATTAATATGAACTGGGTATTTGATTTTTATGGCTTTAAATTGCATAGATGAAAAGGGTGATATTATTGGAATTCAATTATGCTGTGGTTGTGAACATTTCTGTTATGTTTGGCAAAATTTCCCAATTGTTATAGTATTATAGGTTAATAATGCATAAAGAATTAGTGGGTATTACGTATACAAGTAATTTTGATTATAAGATAAGAAGATGTATTAATGTGTTAATGTAATTATAGGTGCAAAAGGAATGGATGAAAGGAAACAATTTAGATTGGATGACTTGTTAGACATGAAGTCTGATAGCATTTTGCTAGGTAGGATAAGTTTGCTGCCTGATGAACTTCTCCTACATATATTATCCTTTTTGCCATTGAAACAAGCTGTGAGTACTGGTGTTCTTTCAAAGAGGTGGAGGAATTTGTGGATGAAATCTCCTAGTTTGTCATTTGATGCCTATAACATGTTTGGCCGGGAGCTCAGTTATGTAGAGCAGCGTTTGAGAACGCGTCAGTTTGTTAGATTGGTGGATGGGGTTGTTAGCCAGTTGGTGTCACCTTCAATTTGCGTTTCTACCTTTGCAGGGCACTATGAACTATCTGAGGAAGTGGTATGTTACATTGATCGTTGGGTCTTGTTTGCCCTTAAGTGCAATTTGCAAAGCCTTAACCTACATTTCCGAAAGGGAAGTGCCATCGGTTCGTGGCTCTTTCCTCCCCAAGTGGCTAGTCCTCAAACCAATCTTTGTTGTCTAAGCCAGCTTCGTTTGGGCGGATGTGAAGTTGTTCCTGCTTTTAGCGGTTTCAAGAATCTTAAGTTGGTATCTTTGACCAATGTAATTGTTACAGACCAAGCTTTTGAGGATCTGGTGTCAAATTGTTTGCTTCTTGAGGACTTGTTTGTTTGCTCAGCTGTGAATCTGAGAAGTATAAGAATCCCGGAGTCATTGATCCGGTTGAAATTTTTGCACATATACCTTTGTCATGATTTAGTCAAACTGGAAGTTAATGCAGGAAATCTTGCATCTTTCACATATATTGGACCAAAATTAAAATTCTCCTTTGAAAATATCTCTAAGCTTAGGGTGCTGCGTCTGGGATGGATAGATGAGATTTTTAGCCAACTAATGAGTAAAAATCTATTGCTCCATACTTTAATCTTGGATCTTGATCTTTTCTTCGAGAAGTTTGATATGAATTATGAGATTTTGCCTGTACTGGCCAGTCTTAAGGTATTGATTATGTCAGTTGTTCGTCTAACTGGTGCTTTTACCGGGTTCACTAAATTGCTTAGAGCAGCCCCTTCTCTGTATAAGTTTGGGTTGCATTTAAAGGGCCCTGACTTCTATACTCCTGAATTGGAAAAGGGTTTAAGAATAGATTTTCGCCATGAACATCTTCGGGAGATTGAGCTCAGTGGCTTCTTGGGTAAAAAAGGGCATATTGAACTAGCTCTTTTGCTGATTGAATCAGCAGTTGCTTTGGAAAAAATGATTGTTGTTCCCGCTGGTAAAAGGTTGTACCTCAACAAATGGGAGTGCGACTTGCCAAAGCCAGATGAGCTTGATGCCATCCGAAAATGCACTGATCAGATTTCCAGTAAACTTCCAGCTGCAGCTAAGTTAGAAATCCGTGAATTTTGAGTAGCTTGCTACACCTGGCTGAACGTTTTGAACAACTTTCAACCATAAAAATGTATGTCACTTCATATGAGATCATTTGCATTCTTTCTTATATTCAATTTCTATAGTTTAATTTTTTTATTATACTTGTATGTATTTCGTATAGCAGCTAAATGGCTGCAATGTATTGCGCTGGAATAATTTTGAATAAGTATTGTACGTGTTGGGAGAATTGTGCAGTTGAATTTAGATATTGCAATACTGGCATTTTTTTTTCATTTTTGTTAGTAATACAGATAGTGCAGGTCTTGTATGATATACTAGTAATTATGTTTCTGTATTTGTATACTCTGTAATCTGTATCATTCATCAAAAAGTGTTTTCTCCGTACCTTGTTTATTACAGTTTCTATTTAAACTACTGTTGTTCTATGGTAAATTGATATTTTGGTACCTTGTGATTGTTGTGAGCTTGAGGCTAAAGGCTGAAGGCTGCAGGATTCGTATATTGAATCTAGTGTTGCTCTAGGAGATGGTATACGAGAGGTACTAACTACATGCAGTCTACTTATGAAACTGAAGCACTTCTGCAGTATTGGTTTATCGATTTCATCCTAATCATGTACAATTTGAATGATATACAGTATTGAAATAGAGGAGGGGAAGTGGAGTATAAAACTACGAAGTATGAAAGATGGCTTACTGTTGCAGTGTCAAATGTCAATGGAGGTGGCTACGGGTAAGTTCTTAGCCGGCTAGGCTACAACATTTGGTTTTAAGCTAGCCAATTTGTGAGAGGCTGATTAAACAATCTTGAAGCATAACCCACCCACCAGCAAAAGGCATGATGAAGCTGTTAGTTGTAGCTGTTCGATATATGATCATTTTTATTTATTTTTGGTGTTTAGAGAGCCACAAGGACATGTGATGATTGCACAAATGTACGGACTTTGATTAGTAAATCACTAATAGGTACCAGGTAAAGCTTGACCTAGTGTAAGGCTGTAACTAAAACTATCAATTTGGGTAAACGGGTAGGGTTTGGGTCGGGTAAGAGTGGGTCGGGTCAACTTAGGTCGGGTCAATTTAGATTAATTCCATAACATATGCGGGTCGGGTTTTGGGTTGGGTCATGCTTGAATCCGGTCACGTCGGGTCATACTTCTTATCGGGTTTGGGTCGGGTGAACAATAGGTCGGGTTTAATTAAGGTTAACGGATTAAGGTAATTCTCGGGTTCAAGTTAATAATTTGCTGGTTAGAATCAGGTTGGGTCATTCTCGGGTTTGAGTCGGTTTCGGTTCAAGTCAATAATTTGCGGATTATAATCAAATCGGGTCATTTTCAAGTCGGGTCATTCTCGGGTTTGAGTCAGGTTCGATTCAAGTCAATAACTTGCGAATTATAATCAGGTCATTCTCGGGTCCAAGTCGGGTTCGGTTCAAGTCAATAATTTGCGGGTTATAATGAAGTTAGGTCATTTCCAAGTCGGGTCATTCTCGGATTCAAGTCGGGTTATGTTCGGGGCCCGGTGTTGAAATACCTTGAGATTTTAGTGAATACATTTCGGGGTCATATGATGATGTTTGGAACCATATATGATCATTATATCTTGTCATAAAAGTTTGTGGTAGGCTTGATTTAATAAAATCGCTGCAAGTTGTAAACCGGTAAATTGGTCGTTTAAAGGCAAATTGGATGGTTCCACCCACCCAATTGAACTCCCGGAGGGTATTAGTGACCATGGTAAAAGTTTCGACAATGTTCGGGTCACGGTGTGGAAAAGCCTTGAGATTTTAGGGAATACATCTCGGGGTCATATAATGAACTTTGCCGTTTGGAACCATATATGATCATTATATGTTGTCATAAATGTTCATGGTAGGCTTGCGTTAATGAAATCGGTGCAAGTAGTAAACCGGTAATTGACCGTTTAAAGGAAAACTGGATGGTTCCACCAACCTAATTGAACTCTTTGAGGGTATTAGGGACCATGGTAAACATTTCAGGAATTTTTGTTTTCGGGCAAAAAAAGTCAAAAAATTCCAAAATTGAAGGCTAAGATCTACATTTTTGAAAATTTTTGTAGGTTTCGAGGCCCAGTGTCGAAAATCCTTTACATTTTAGTATCTCGGGGTCATATAATGCCGTTTGAACCATTAATGATCTTTATATGTTGTCATAAATGATCATGGTAGGCTTGATTTAATGAAATCGGTGCAAATTATAAACCGGTAAATTGGTCGTTTAAAGGCAAATTGGATAGTTCAACCCACCCAATTACTCCCGGAGGGTATTAGGAATCATGATAAAAATATTGGTAATTTTTATTTGCAGGCGAAAAAAAGTCAAAAAATTCAAAAATTGAAGACTTATATCCATGCTTTTTGAGAAATGTTTGGAGGTTTCGGGTCACGGAGTCGAAAAGCCTTGGGATTTTAGGGATTACATCTCGGGATCATATAATGATGTTTGGAACCATATATGATCATTATATGTTGTCATAAATGTTCGTGGTAGGCTTGAGTTAATGAAATTGTTGCAAGTTGTAAATCGAAAAATTGGCCGTTTAAAGACAAATTGGATGGTTTCTGTTTCGGGGTTTTCTGATGTCCTGCGGGAGAGTTACAATTCCGAGACTGGAACCGGACGCCTGTACCTGCAAAATAACGGAGACTCCTGAGAGCTCCGCCTCCAACGGTCAAGTTAGTACCTGATTAAGGAGTAATTAATACAGAAATTAAAGTAATGAGATCTCTCCAGGTGAGAGTGCTTGGTGTTGGTAATCTGCGTCGTTAGCGAGATTAGCCGGTTGTTAATAACTCTGTTCTTCTCTGCTTGATCTCTTGATTATTCGATTCTTTTCTGTTGTGTGATTAATGAGGATTAATCGAGTATTTATAGCCTTGAGAAGCGTGCAACTCTCTAGGTTTAAGGTAAACCTAGGGCTGACCGGGCCTCTAGACTGGACTGGGCCTTGATGGCCGGTTTTCCCATTTGGCATGGGCGGACACGTGGCGTGTCTTAAGTGGTCCGTAGAGGACGTATCTGTGACTGACACGTGGCAGGCTCCTGTTGGCCTTAGTGAAGGACACGTGGCGGAACCTGGTTGGTCCACTTGTCAGAAGGTGATTGGTGGATAAAAACCCCCTAATCATTTGCCCCTCACAGGTGGCACGTGACTGGTCACGGGTCGCCTGTGACAGGTGTCGCACGGTGACAGGCGACGGCCTGTTACAGGTGTCATCTTGCAAACGGCCGAGAGATTTTCCCGCCCACATTTTGAATTTGGAAGCGACCTTTCGCCTTCTCACTTTGCCTATAAAAGGAAGTGCTGACTTCGGTCATTTTCACATTTGAGAACTTTGCGAGAACATTCGGACCCCTGAACTTGCTCTGACATTTCGGACCTTTTCTGCCTACCGCCTGTTCTGACAAGCCGACTGACCCGAACTTTCAGGACTTCATCAACCGTCACTCGTTCAGGTAACTTAGTTCTCTTACTCTTAATTTTCTTTTTATTTTTTGAAATGGCACCATGGAAGCACACGACACGCCCTAAGTTAGTGATCAGCCGGTCACCGGGGACGGCTGAATCTAGGACTAGGAGTGCCGCCTGCCCTTTTCTGGACCCATCTTTGCCCTTTATACAAAGTCCGACTGTATCTGTGTCTATGCAGAACGTGATGGCCAGAACAAAAAAGACTGCTATGATATCAAACTCAGACGGCTCCTCCCAAAGGGTGCTCCTTAGTGAAACATCTGACCAGGCGCCAGATGTAGAACGAGGCGACTGTCAAGCCGACAGTTCTGAGAGAGGGGCCAAGGTGTTCCCTTCCCATCTTACCGTGGACATGTCTAATTTTCCTTCTGCTCCTTCTAAGGGAGAGGAGGCGGGCCCCTCTAGGAAAGGGGAGGAGTCGTCTTCCTCGGACTCGTCAGAGGATGAGTCTGAGTCCAGTTCTTCTGGCCACAGTTCTCCTGGCTCAGAAGAAAAACATAGCCGCCTACAAGAGGCGAGACGTTCTCATGCAGTTGAGAAGGGGGACAATTGGGCGGAGCCGTCCGCCTCTTACAGAGAGGAAAACGCCCCCTACTACTGCAGGGTACCCCGGGGCTGGATCGCCACCATGCAAGACAACGTGGCGAGCTTTATTGCTAACCACAAAATGGGCCCGGAGTTTTTACTGTTTGTGCCGGATCCAGAAGATACTGTCGTCTGGCCGGCTGGTACCAGCTATGGTGACGGCTGCTTTGGCTGCTATGTGGCGGCCATCAAAGCTGGACTACGCTTCCCATTACATCCGGCTGTTCAGCGGATTTTAGATGGGTATGATCTGGGGTTATGGCAGTTAGCCCCCAACTCTTGGGTAAACGTACTCGGCTATGTGGCCGGGTGCGAACTGAACGGGGTGGAGCCAAGCTTTGAGGCTTTCGCCCATATGAACTATCTCAGCCGGACCCCTAAGTCGGGAGGTACCGACTGGTATCAATTAACAAGCCATAGGGGTTACCTCATGACTAGAGGTAAGGCAAACAAATGGAAGGATTGGCGGAACACCTTCCTTATTATCGAGGGTTCAGACACGGAGCTGAACAAACGCTTTAACAAGTGGAATAGGGATCCGCCTCTTCTCGCAGGCGGCCGCAGCATGCCGCCTGTTCCCCCAAAGGCTAAAAAAGAGATCCTAGACAAAGGACTCTTCAAAGTAGAGACTAGGGTGAACTCTACTTCAGGGGTACGAGAGCAAGTACCCCTAAACTGCGTCCCGAGCTTCAAGTGGCTCTATGACGAGTACTTTTTGGCCGCCTGTGGCCTCGGCAGTCGGTGCTCTAGAGGTAGCCGGCCTGACGAATACTCTGTTTTTTCACGCCTTGTTTACTTGGGATTTTTACTAACTTTGCTGCTTATTTCTTGCAGCTGACGCCATGAGTAAAATAACAGCATCTAAGACTGCGGCAGCCATGCTGCGGGTCTCGCTAATGAAGCAGTCGTATGCCGACTCCCCCAACAAGGAGGCACCCTTGGTAAGCTTTGAAAACTCTTCCCCTTTTAGTTGTCTTATGCATATACTAACTCTTTTTGTTTTCAGTCTGGCACTCCAAGGGCTTCTTCCTCGCAACAGCCGGACCCCAAGGCCCGGAGGACGACTGTTGCAAGCTCTCCTGGGTCTTCCAGGAAAACAGTGGCGGCTGAGAAGCAGCCGGCCACTTCTTCAAAAACCCAGGCGGGG